CCCACTTAAAGCAGTAACTGTACCTAAACTGTAAAAAAAAAAAAATATATATATATATATATATATATTGCATTGTATTGCATTTACATTGAAGAAAAAATAAATCAATAACTTGTTTGTCTGTCAATATGCTCTATCCAGAACTCCACAAGTGGAAAAGTTTTAGTTTCACCTGGTTTAAACTCTATAAAAAATATATATTTTGCTATCCGATTATTATTCGAATAATCTAAAAAGCAATTGACGGATTAATAGATTTGCAAAACAATTGTTGGTTGTCACAAACATACATTTCTGGAATATCTGATCTTAGGTTTTGTATCAGCAACCTGTGATACAAATACTGTGTGTTTGACCTAATTTCAGAGAAGGTTAACACAAGCCTCAGCATGAAACCTGATACAGGAACTAAAGTAGACATAAAAAATGCAAAGTTGACTGTCTTTCTGTTTAATATTTCCCACAGAAATACCACAGGTGGAGAAGTCTACAGGTACAGCACATTAAGCAAAATTCAGTATCATGGGGGCACACTTTGATCTGCAAGAGTCTGATGTTTCAACCTAATCATGATGATTCTATTTAGACATTAAGTTAATCTTTAAGTTGAGTGATTTATTCTTATAAAGATTATTCTTTATAAAGATTTCGGACCTAAACAGATTAATATACATCTGCTTGACTTGACTGAGATGTTAGGAAGTCAGTTTTATTTTGAAACCTGTGTTTAACCCAGAGGATGAAGTCAAACTTAACCCATTATTACTAGAAAGTAAGAGTCGGATCAAGGGGAACAATTCTTAACAATTCTTAACAAATTTGTTTGTTGGAATTTACATAAAAAATGCTGACAGTAATATTATGTGTAAAAGAAAAGGATTTCTAAAATTATTATTATTCTTTGAAAGATAAGAAATTAGTTTCAGTAAATGCTTGTTTGTCCATCTTAACTTATGATGCACAGAAAACCTTGCAAAAGTCTTTCCAGGTTTTTCTTTAATAGTTTTTCAGATCTTGAGACTGAAACTTTTACCCATTGTATTTTGATATATATGGTATGTCATTCTCAATCAGATTAGATGGAGAGAATCTAGGAGCATCAGTCTTAGAGCTTTTGAGAGCAAACCATATTTTAATACTAAAATATATGCTTTGATTAAGATCTTTCCATCCCAGCTTTGTCTGGATATTTTGTATCATTATCATAATAAAGAGGAAACTTTTGCACAGGTTCAAGGTGTCTCTGTGCGTTCATCAGCTCTGAGCTGAGAAGAGGCATCCCCAGAGTCAGTTGCTGGTACGATCATGTCACTTTAGGGATGATGCATCTATTATGCACGTAGCTCTTCAGTGTTAACCTCATCTGACCAGTTCTTCTTTTCAATGTGTCCTATGTCTTTTAAGTTGTTAAGCAAATCCCTAAGGCAGCCTTTGCACTAAATTTTATTTTGGGATATCAGACTATATGAAGGACATAAACATGCAATAAAAAAAGAAAAAAGTCAAGCACAATTTACCCTGCACCTAATAATAATGTTTTATTTAGTGTTTTTTTGTAAATACTGTATGTGTTTATGGCATACCTTATATGTATTTATTTCCAACTCCAATTGTAGAAATGTTTAGACCTATATAAATTGGAGGTAATTTTCTTTTTTAAGTGACACCAATTCAAATTAGTAAAAAAAAATAAATACTTTATTGACCCGAAAGGGAAATTAGATGTTACAGTAACTCAGCTTTTTAGTTCCACCTGTGAGAAAGAGTAAAGGCAAATAAAGCTGTCATTTCTAATGCTTTTCAATCATTTTTGACTTTCAGAGCTACTGCCTTTCTCCCCCTAACTTCCTGAAAAGCAGATTTTTTTACTGATAAAAAGACCCCTACGGGCTCCTGCTACCACTCTGAGCCCGGCAGCATGACTAGGCAGCCTCCACTGGCTCACTGCCAGTCCTCAGATTCTTTACAGCCACTAAGAAGAGAATGTCAAAGCCAAGCAGAGAGGATCTGACTTGTACAGCCAGGGGCTTAGCATGTAGCTGAGGGACTAACCTCAGCTGAAAACTGCAGTTTGTTTTTTGGTCTGTGCATTGCCTGGCTGTGTGTGGAAAAGATTATGTGCGGTTGACTTATTGGTGCATTTTTATGTTCTTAGAATATCCATTGTTTCTACTTACTTCCCTGTTCACTTATAGACTGAGATGCAATGACTTCTTCCATTAATAGATGTTCACCAAGATATGTTAAGTGGGTCGTTTGATTGGATGTTTGATGCAATGGTCTCTGCCTCTGTATCCTCGATGAAGATATATGTAATTGGAAATATTGCTCTTCCGCTAAATATGTTTCACATGTTTTAAATAATTTTGCCTAACATTTTTCCATCTGCATAGATCAGAGCTTAAACATCATCTTACCTGTTGTTGGAATAAAAGTAGTTTTTCTCTTTTTTTTCCTCCAAATAAAGCCATCACCCTGCATGCCCATTTGTCTTACACCTATTTTGTCAAAATGTGAATATCGACGGCCATAAAGTTATTCATGCCTGCATTGGGTATCACCTTTATTTGAGAAAGAAATGAAATCCCATTCTCAGGGTCTCCCTGGAGAGGAATAATATGCCATGCCTCTCTCCCATTCATTTCATCATATCTGCTGAATAAATTTGTAAGAGGCTGGAAGGCCCTGTATATGCGATGCGGTTGAAGAGGTCAGTAAGCCTGAAGGTGGTAAAATGAACTCGTATTAAAGTGCATTTTTGAATTTGTTCTCTTATGACTGGATAGTTTGGATGCCTCTGTTTTGACAGCAGTTGTTTAGAAGCATATCTTGCAGCTTTTTTTACTAAAAAACTATTCAACATTACTTTGTTTTTGTTCAACTTTTTCTGTTTTTCTTCTTTTCTAATGTTGAACCAATTTTCCTGTGGCTTACATGCATGGAAAGACTTGACAGTTACAAATTTATTTCCATTTACCTTGCCTTAACTCCTGCCTGGCAACAAATGGAAAAGAGCCTGTGATGTTACATAATAGACCTTAAATCCGACTGATCTGCCATTCCCAGCCTATACCAGGAGGTGCCAGGTCACGCACTGACCCGTAAATTCTATTACTGACCAACCCATTCAGACATAAGGACATTTAAACCAGCACCTGACTTCCATTTTCATGGGAAAGAAGCATTTAAGCACAGTGGAGATCTCTTGGGACTATTTCTATTTAGTTCAATTCTTGCAAAAGGTTCTAAGTATCTCCCAGTCCATCTAAATTAAGCTGACTAAGGTATCTGCACAGAAAATATTTTTAGCCAAAGGATTGTAACCACTTAACACTGTAGCACTTGTAATAAGTGTTTTTATATAGCATACCTATGCCACAGCAGTAAGTGGCACTGTAACACTGACACAGAAGTGAAGAAGGGGGAGAAGAGAAGGAAATAGAAACAGTAAAGAAATTTTTGCATGGTTAGAGCCATTTATAACAAACTGCAATTATTTGAATACATTCTGAAATTCAACCACAACTCTCAAGTCTGCTATTGTTGTCTTTTGTGTCAGCACACGCATGTTTAGATTGTTGTGGTCTACATTTGCTGACATGGACGAGCACGTCAGTGATTTGCCGGTTATGTAGATAAGGTCTGGACAGAACTCACTATCTGGTTAAGAAGTATGGGGTACTCCAAAACCCAGATCTGCCTTGATGGGCCCTAAATTCAGTTTGAGAACTTTCTTATAATTGGAACATATACAGGGTAACAGTGGGGTCGGATGTAAGAGTTTACCCTGAAATCAAAGGGTTGATGGTTTAAGCCCCGGTTCCCGCTTACAGTGTTGTTGTGTCTTTGGGCAAGACACCTCACACGCATTGTATACTGATGATGTTAGAGTCCCCAGTGGCACCAGTTTACGGCAACCGCACTACTGTCAGTGAACCCCAGGGCAGCTGTGGCTACAGTGCAGTTTCCCATCATCAGTGTGTGAGTGTGTGTGAATGACTGAATGTAGTGTAATGCCTGACTTGAAAAAGCGCTATATAAGTACAGGCCATTTACCATTTAAACATGCCATAATCACTCTTAATATGGGGGATTGATGCAAAGATGATGAAATCAACTTTTGCTTGATGCTTATTCAAGAGGAGGAATTGCTGCAAATTCAATGACTCAATGAAATGATTTAAGTTGTTATTTTTACTTAAATAAAAAACTTTTTTAAAACTTGGCATTATAAGCAAACTGAGTTACTCTTATATTTATTCAATTTAGTATGTGTATTTGACTTTTCCTCTTGAATTAAATCAACTATATTCCTGCATGTCTGCTACACAGTGGGTAGCGGTTCTCTCCGTGTACTCCGGCTTCCTCCCACAGTCCAAAAACATGACTTTTAGGTTAATTGGCTTCTCTAAATTCTCCTTAGGTGTGAATGTATGTGAATGGTTGTTTGTCCTGTTTGTCTCTGTTTTGCCCTGCAATGGACTGGCATTCTGTCCAGGGTGTACCCCGCCTTTTGCCCGTAGGCAGCTGGAGATAGGCACCAGCGCACCCCACAACCCCAGCAGGGATAAGGGTGAAGGAAAATGGAATGGAATGGAATATTCCTTAATATAAACTGGATCTGTTGGCATTTCATGTGCCTTGAGAAATTTGTTGTGAATCAGAGTTAGATTATTAAATACAATGCAGCTTGATATTTATTGATATTTTCATTATACTGTTTTACACAGTTGGTTTACAGCGTTTCTTGGACACCAAAGTTGTCCATGCACTAGATTTAGTTTGAAATTTAACAAAGAACTTGGGAGTTTTTTTTTTTCACTTACCAAAATAAATGCATTAATATAAAAAAATTTGATGTTTTTTTTTGTTTTTTTTATCATTTTGGGTCTTTGTACATGCAAATTTTAGATGGGCATCAGGTGTTACTGGCTCTCACCATCAAGCTGTGGTCACTGTGAAGTGAACTGGACTAAACAGTGGATTTGATGTCTTTGCAGATCAAGGCCATGAAATTAAAGTGTGTGAAATCGTGGCAATCCACAAAGCAGAAGATGAAGCTGAAACTCAGACCAGGAAGCATCCGAAGAGAATAAAGCAGCATTCCCAGCAGTATCCCTATGCATTCACAGGTACACATTTTCCTTCTAGTGAAAAGTAAATCTTTTATAACTATAAAAAGCTCCAAAAGGTGGTCATCTTTCAACCATAAACTTCAATGTACGTCATTTAGAAATTTGGCTCAGATTTTTTTATTAAACATTAAGGGTAATGTGCAATTTTCACCTAAGACTCAAATCTTAATTTTGGTGTCATCTGACTAGAGCACCCTTTCCACATCTTCCCTCATGAGTTAAGTGTCTTCTGGTTGGCTTCCCTTGGTTTTATTCAGGGCTATTTGAGCAAAGAATACAGAATACAAATGCACAGATTTTATATAGATTAGAATAGGAGAGAAAATCCCTTTATTGTCCCACAATGGGACAATTGTGTTGTTTACAGCAGCAAAAAGATTGTAGAAAAAAGTTTAATGCTTTATGGAATCCTGCATTCTTTCTCTGCTTGCTGATAATTTCGGAGGCATATTGAAGTTTAGGATATGTGTAATTTCAATGATCAGGTCCATACTGCCAAAGTTATAAAACCTTTTAATGCATGAATCCTTTAAAACTTTTCTTCTGTTGATTTCTATCTTGGAGCTATCGGGAATAAATTCATACAAAATTTAGTTTATATCATTCAATATGGCATATGCCCAGTAATGCAGGCTTTAAAATGTACAGCTTCACAAAGCTGGGTTGGCACACTATGCTGAAACATTAATGGCATGTTCTATAACTCATACTCTGTTTCTATTAATATGTTAGAGAAAATTTTTCACACTCTCTGACATTTTCACCACTTGTATGATCTGCGAGTCGATTGAACTAAAGGCTTTTCCTTAAAAGAGTGACTCCTCTATCTGATGAGAGGAAATATTCAGTGTGAAGATGCTTAGTGAGTTCATCTACTCCCAAAGTTCTTCGTGAGTAAATTCCTGCTCCATCTTAGAAAAATTCTATTTATTCATCTGTCTTTTTTCTGTGCAACCAAGCCTTACTCAGCTGACTTCCTCCTCATTTCCCGCACACCTTCTTATCTTACTCATTCCCCACATTCTGTGACGGACCAAGTTGATTAGGATAAAGCAAGGGTTCATTGGCAGGGCAAGTCTGCATTGCAGCAAAACTTGGACTAATGATTAGAGAGAAAACATAAACTGGGGGAAAATTCTAAGAATACTCCAGGAACCTCGGCTCAGGAGCTATGATGGATGTTTCTCTGATTCCTATGGCACTTCTAGCATAAGAGAGGGACATTTCATTGTGTATATAATGTTTTCTGCGTTCTATGGAAAAAAGTATTGTTTTCTTTGCAGTTGCTTATGTGAGGAGAACCCAGCAGCACCTGTGGCGTTGCAGCGATGTCACCTTCCACTGTGCCGACCAGCAGATCTGTGACCAGTGGATCCAAGTTACAAATGAGCAGCTGTCATTACTCAGTAGGTGCTCCTTCACTCTATGCACTCAGGACTGTCTGAATGTTCACTCCAGATCAATCTATCATCAAGGAAGCACTTATCTTTGAATCTGGTTGTAAAGTTACTTTCAGCACAGATAAGAGCTTATTAACTGTAGCAGAACGCGTTTAGGTGTAAAGGTGATTTCACACACACTGCTGTTGATTAACCTAACAAACTAAACAGAATGTTGGGATTTTTCCAGGACATGGGAGCAGAAGTTTGACCCAGTGAACTACAGACCCACATGAAGGGGCAGACTTTGATCTGAAAAATCAAACCCTTTAATAAATGGAAGCATGGTCTAAACCTGATTTTCTCTCTTTTTTTACCTAAAGTAATTAGCTGCACAGTTAATTTCCCTTCTGTAGGGTTAGAGTTAGAATGAAAGATGAGGGTTATTTTGAAGAAACTTTGATTAGATTGCCTCCTTAATGACAGTCTGTCACATTACAGATCTTAAAGTCTAAGACCTTAAAGCTATAGACTTTTAAGATTATAGATCTGGACACTGCATGTCCAAAAAATTAAACAAACAGGAAGATTCGAAGTGGGTTAAACCCTTCTCTTTAACTTTCACATATTGTTTTGCAAACTCAAATAACATAAAAAAGTTAACCTAAATTGTTGTATTAATTAAAGTTTTTAAATTTAAACTGATTGATTAAACTCAGATTAACATATTTCAAAATCTTTGATATATCTGCAAAAAAACTAAATTTTTTATTGCATAGAACCAGAATTTAACTAAAAACTTATGTTTACATTTTGTCAATATTAGATGTATTATAACCTTTTCAGTGAGACATAATGTAAATCATAATAACGTATTTCTTTACAAAGTTTTATTCTCTGGGGACCTTTTTTTTTTTTAAATTAGCAGCATCTGGTTTTTAAAGTGCAACTAAACCCGATATAAAAGCATAACTCCGCCCTCATACAAACTCTCAATAAAGTGTGGAGATGGTGGTCAAGGACAAGTGGGAGTGACATATAATTTGATATGATTAAATAATCAAAGTACCGTCAATAAAATAAAAATTAAGTAATAAAATTTTGACGTGAAAAACAACATCGATCAAAGCTCACAAATCCAACTCCTAACTAGCCAGGATGATGTGTGTCTAAGTGAGATGGTTCAGTTTATTCTTTAAAACTGGAACATTGCATAGAACAGTGTTTTTGTCATTTTTCATGGTTGTATCTGTGGCCGTAGAGGGCATATATGAACTATGAAGAATACTATTATCCTCACATGTAAAATGGATGGTATCACCTTGGAGATTACATCAAGGCGACTTCCGAGTTCCAAGTTTCCAGGTAAATTGAACATATAATTACTCCCAAAACACTGGGCTTCTATGTTGACATGCACCAGTTTACCCATTAGGAAAATGAAACTGTCCTTATTGCATTTTAACCCATAGAGGGCAGCAATAAGACGGTTTTAAGGAAAACATTTCAGAATTTTTAGTGTTTGTGGAAATGTCCAGTTTTGCACTGCAACATAAATATAGCACCCTTAAGGCCCAATTTATACAAGTAATATGGGGAAAAAAACATTTGGATCTTAGTTGCTCTTTAAAGATCAGTACACAGTCCCCTAAAAAGTAGTATTTTTAATAACTTTTATCTATAACTGCTATTTTTACACAACCACTACACATTTGACATGCTTTATGGATTGGTGTGGTAGCACACCAGCACTTTTGGCTTCATTACAACTTGCCATGTAGGTCTGAATCAATCATGACCCATCCCTCATCTCAAAAGGTCAAAGAAGATGAATCACGATTCAAGTTCTAAAACTATCTATAACATTGTTATAGCGATAATTGAGTACAAAATGATGTGCCACACTCTTTGGCTAATAGATCTGAAAGAAGATGCATCTTAAATATCTGGAATCATGATTGTAAGGTGATGTAGTGAAAGTACAATGTCATCTTGATGCCGTTTTTCTAACCAAGATGAACCAATTCTGTCATATTAACCACATTCATTGTGAAGATGAAGTCTGTACATCTTTAATAGTGTTTGTCTCCTCCACATTGCACCTTTACATCACCCACAGACAAGCCCATTTATGTAATCTAATGGAATTTTTGTGTTATTGCTAAATGATATGGAGTTTTTTTTTCTTGGTGCTCATTTAACACTTGATCCCATTCAAATCTCTTTTAGTTTGAGCTGCCACCGTACTTTATTTTTCCACAGCCGCCCCAAATAAGCCATTAACTATTCTCTGCCACATCACTTTAGAAGTTCATCACCAGATGATGCAGTGCCTCCAAGTTGCCTCGCACTCCTTTCACAGCTGGTCGACGTGTCATTTATTTTTCAAACAGCACATTCTGATCATTATTTTAAGAAGATCTCTAGTTAATGAAAGCCCCAATCAGGGTGTTGTCAAATAAAAAAGTCAAGCATTTTCAACCGCTATCCTTCACTTTGCAGCCAACCGACCGAAGAACCTCTTGGTGTACATCAATCCGTATGGGGGGAAGCGACGCGGGAAGCACATTTACGAGCAGAAGGTGGCTCCGGTGTTAAGGCGGGCCGGTATCTTTACAGATGTGATTGGTGGGTACTTATCAATTGAGCTCCACAACATTTAAATAAAAAATGAGTCTCAAAGGCCACGATATATATCTCTGCTGCCACTGTGGCCCTCTCACAGGGCCAAGGTAGCCTCAGTAGGATATGATTTTGGTTTATGGCGGCATTAATCGTTAAACCACCTGAATGGATGATGTGATACTTGATAATCTTGGATATCCAAACACATCTATTATTCAATAAGTGTTTGCTACAGTGCATTTTCTTCAGTACTGATGGTCCATCAGAGTGAAAACCATTCACTCTGGGCTTCCTATAGCTGCTATGAGCGGCATGATTTTTTTGTGCTGGGATTATATGCCTGGTAAACAGATTTACTGTTTTTTTTTTCTACCTCTGGGCTCATTTTGTTAATACACAGTACAATAGCTGAATTAGACTGTTTGTGCCTTTGTGCCTTGCTTCTTTTCTAAACATTAATCTGTTCAGTGGGTTTCAGCGAATGCATCCAAAGTGCTGTGTTTTTTTGTTTTTAAATGGCTGCTCCGCCACTTATTTAGTCGGTGCATTTCTTTTATTGCACTTGCACTAACGTTTGCCATTTAATTGGTTTCCACAGTTACAGAGCGGGCTAATCATGCCAGAGACCACTTGAAAACAGAGGCCAATCTAGACGATTATGATGGGTGAGTACTTCAATGAGGTAGCTACTGCTGCCTTCGAGCTTTTGAGACACAGATTTTTGCTTATGGCATTTATGTTGATTCCCTTGTCTCTCTACTCATATTTTGATAAAACCGCTGAGGCCCTCATTAAAACTCTGTTATTGGGTGATCTGCAAGGAGCTGAATTATTCATTTTCACAATGCACTTTTTGCATAATTTCGACGTGCTGCAAACAACAATCTACAGCTTCTTCTTTTACAAACTGAAAATATTCATAAAAAGTCGTCTTCACCATCTAAGAAGCAAATATATCTTTATGAATTTGAATAGCAACAAAAGCAATGTTCATTTTTCCATTTTTCATTAGATCAAAACATGGTACAGTATTTTACTTGAATACATGCTGCTTTGGCTAAATTGTGGACATTTTTAAGGCTTTTCCAAGCATCTGCTTTTACTTCATTTAAGACATCTCCAACTACCATGGGACACCTAACGAACATTTGATTCATGAGTTTTGCAACCATTAGACACAATAAGGGTTAATGCTGGTGTTTAAAGTATCTTAAACTTACTTAAATATTAACGCATTCCACTAATATTTGCATTACCTTATCATATGATAATACCACCTCTGTTGGTTATTGAAGATTCACTCACCTTTGCATGCCGAATGCTTGAGAGGATGAAAGCACAACTTAGCCTAATTCATTCAGCTATTTAGCATTTTGAACCTTTTTGGACCTGGCAGATGGCCGCTCACACTGAGCCTGGTTCTGCTGGAGGTTTCTTCCTGTTAAAAGGTAGTTTTTCCTCTCCACTGTCGCTACAAGCATGCTGAGTGTGAAGTTGATGCAATCAACTGGTTTTCCTTAGATAGAAAACTTTGAATCAATTTGACTGTATGATCTGGTGAACTGTAAAGTGCCTTGAGATGACGTGTTGTGAATTGGCGCTATATAAATAAACTGAACTCAAGTTAGCATTAAACCTTCATCCCTATGAAACAAGATATGGTAATATACCAGTAAACATATATTTTGGTAACACTATTACTTTGCTCTGCCATAAAAATATTTACAGCTTTAAGCAAAAAATAATTCAGAATTCATTAATTTTGCATATGGTGGAAAAAATAGAATTTCTGGTTAGGCCGTTGAAATTCTAGCATTGCAAATGTAAGACATCATTTCCAAACTAACACACCATGGAGGGTTAAAAGGGACCAAATTAAATGCACCATAAAATAATAAAACATACCATTAAATGTCCCATTAAATTATAAGATGCAGAGTTTCATAGTAAATTGTCCCAATAAATAGGCCAATAATGTCAAATCAGTTCAATTAGATAATTAAATGGATTGTTTTTGCCAGCGTTTGCTAGTGGGCGGGGCTAATGCTGATACTGGCTGAAGTCTGATGCCGTGTCCTCCAAGCAGGACCTCAATGAGAAACATTTCGGATCAAACTAAGGATATAGAGGATAGAGTTGCTCAACTAGAGATTATGGTGAATAGATTGCAATAATCTCTTACTGTTACTGAAGTTATTCCAACATTTTCAAAAAAAGACATTAGTCTAGGCTACAGCATCTTTTTAAGAAGTTGTCTTGGCTTATGTGAAGCAGCCAATCATTGGTTAGGTTGGTCCCGCTTGAGTTTCTTGGATAAAGTTGACAGTATGAATAATTTAATAATTAGTTTGCTGCATGGAAACAATTAAACAATAATTTAACAGTATATTCAATTATTTAATGGTACATTAGCATTTGTTTATTTGATGATATATCTATTTATCTAATCTCGTCCCTCCTGACCTTCCGTAATGCTTCATTTCTACGGAATTCAAAATTTAAAGACACTTAAAGTTACATAATTCACGGTTTAGTTTTTGGTCTAAAAATGTAATTAAAGGCACACTATGCAACATTTTTCAGTTAATTAATGTGTTCCATAACGTTATGGATGATTAAATGAGTAATTTCAGGTTGAACAAAGGTATTCTCGGCCGCCCTGGTGGTCTGTGGGGGAAATACTGCACTTGCAATTGCAGGAGCACCGACCCGCACCCACAGGCTCAGAAGTCTCGTGAGAGTCAGTCTTGCTTTACGGCAAGAACTGCTACACCCCCCAGTTAAAAGCATTCTCGTTGCTAGCACAGTGGCAATCTTTGTGCAGTTATGCTACGTTCACGCAGCAAAAGCAGCAAAATCGCGTCTGCTGATTCCTTTTTGCTGCTTGTACCAGTTAGTTCTGACGCGTGGCTGAAGCAGCTTTGCTGCTCTGGCTGCGCGGTGCAAAAGTGTGTCTGAGGCGCATTGGGCGGAGCTTCACTAACCTTTCTCTGCCTTGCAGCTATATTTACTGTGATCAGTGGGAATAAAGTAGTTTTAATATGTGTTTAAGTGAGAAAATACACCTGAAAACGTAATCAGTGCAGTCAGTTCATTCAGATTATTATCCTGCCTTCAATATTTTTTCTGTCGGAGCCGCTCAGACCCCCACATACCAGCGGGGCGCCGACAGTATGGATCCCTTCATCAGCAGCGGTTCACCGCGGCAGCTGGTAGGTCCAAATAATCCAAACTGCATATTCTGCCGGCAGATTTCTGCATTTTTAGTTAATTTAGGCGTCAATAAACTGTTTAAGAGGAGTGATCATCAGCGCTGTGTCTCTCTCCCTGCGCACCCGACGCGCTGCTTCAGCTGCTCAGACGTGCTGCGCCTGGTGCTCAAAACGAGCCGCGGGACCTTTTGCTGCGCCTTGACGCGCGTCAACCATTGACTTTGCATGTAAACTCGCTGCTTCTGTCGCGCCAGCTACGTCCAGTGTGAACGCAGCATTAGTCATTCGCTGCTAAGCTCAAAACAACCGCGCCTGGCTTGACGGAGAAACCAGGAGAACAGCTGAGCATATTTACGACAGTGCACTTTTACTTTCGCCCTCTGGGGGGAGCCTCGCTGGAAAATCAACACCGGTTGCATAGTGTACCTTTAAATTGAGAATTACTCTAATATTTCCATAGGGATAATGAAACATTGTTGTAACTTCTGGGGGTTTCTTCAGCTAGTTTTTGTAGATGTAGGCAGAATAATTCTCCTCTATTGGTGTGTTTTAAGTTCTGTCCTATGGCTTACATCTAATGAAAACTTTGGTCTCATGAATGAGATAAAAAAAAAAAAAAAATTAAATACTTCTTACTGCAGGAACTGCAGAAGACAGTAATGTATGTCCATGTACAGTATATGTAGTCAGCACGGTCAGTAATTATGCATAAATGCACCATAGCATGAAGGTGATCAGCTGTGGTTTTTCTGAGCTAAAAAAGCATGGCGTGCGTTATCAGATGCATTTAGTTCTTCAGCATCGCTAGTTCAGGTTGTCTGTCATCTTCTTCTTGCCTGCTCTTTATTTAGCAGTTTAATTTATGGGTTTGTTAGTATTATTATTATGATTCATGTATTTTCCCACGCAGTTTATCTAATTAGGACAATACGGACAAAGTTTTATACTTATGAGAGAATTGATATATTTTGATATGGCAGGAGCCAGTAATGCTCCACATTTTACAAACATGTCTATGATGTCACGGTGTGATGATGTGGCAGGCTGTATTTATAAAATTATTCTATCACTGCTATTCTGAGACTTCTTGAAGAAGCAAAACCGGGTGATAAGTGCTGTCATTTGTCACCCGAGTCATTTCTCTGGTCTGATTAACATAAAAATTTCTGTCAAATCTGCTGTCACGTCTCATAGTCATTTAAGACATATACATTATGAAGTCTTATTTAAATTGCTCCAAATTATTTCTTCTCAGGAAAGAATCAGGTAGAGAAAGCTTAAAGGTAAATTTAAAGCTTTCCTTTACATGGTTTAGATAAGGTGCGTTTGCAGTCCAATCAAACATTGTGATATCATGGGTATCAAAGCATTAGTATTAGTACTTTTGGCAATGTGGGCAGGTGTGAAGTGTGGTTATAAATGAAGTATACATCCCAATAAAGTTTGTCAGAAGAAGGAAGTGTGCTAAAATCCCCTGTTAGATGGCTGCACCAACTTTGGACTCAGTCATAATAGACCAATTCTTCCCTCCCTCCTTGATTTATTTAAAATTTCAAATGTACCTTTTGAAAGAGGACTCTGGACCCCTGAGCAACAGTTTAATTAATTTCCTCCTACAGTGGAAATCTACAATGCAGTGTTTCCTAAACTTTTTGACTTTATTACAGAACTGAGTGGGTTATTGTTTTGCAAATTAAATATTTAAGTCTGTATTATGTAGTTAAGAATTATTCAGTTACTAAATTAGTGTGATTGTTGTGAAAAGGAAAGCTATTAATTACCAATAAGGTCTAATTATAAAGTTATCCAAGTAATCCTGATCTAGCCCTTAAATTTCGCAGGCATTCTGTGTAGAAATGTGTTTTCTGTGTGAAGGTATTTTAACCAAATTTGTGTCAATACTGATTTCAGTTAAAGTGAGCAAAATGCAAAAAAAAAAAAATAATAATAATAATGATAATCTTATTTTAAAAACATTTAAATTCAATAAAAAAACAGATCTGTAACAATACAGTCCATGAATGTAATGTTTCTGAATTCAAATGTTCATATTGCTGCTTTTTTACAGCTCTATCTGCCTTTCAGCAGTTCTTACAATAACCACAAATCATCAAAAACCACAAATCACTGACATACATCAAGGTTATAAGCTGTAAATTATGCGAGCTAAAGCGAGAAGCCAAGGGTAAAAAGTGCACCGAAAGGGCCCTTTCTATCCTGCCAGGCACCCCGTCCTTTCAGCTATTCATCTTTCATTCGTAACAGTGGAAGCAGGGTTAGAACCCATTATGCTTTTTATTCTGCAGCTCACATAATTTATAGATGCATTTCAGTTGCTTTCGAGTTAGACCTAAGAAGCTGTAATGCCGGGTGGCACAGCGTGATATTCTTATTTATTGTAAGGTTTAACAGTTGCCCTGTTCCATTATTGTCAAGGTTTTCTTGCTGTGCAGCTATTTTCCTCCTGATTATGTACTTTGACTCTGAACACATGTAGATATAATTCAACTCATTACACAGCAACCTGCCAGGATACTACATGACCTGTTCGCAGGAGTGCGTTGGGAAGACTAAAGGATGGTTTCAAGTTGCTGGTTTGTCTTGTTCTCTCCAGGGTGGTGTGTGTGGGCGGAGATGGGATGTTCAGTGAGATCCTTCATGGGCTGGTTACCAGGATCCAGACTGATCACAACATCGACCAGAACCAACCGGATGCGGAGTTGGTGCCATGCCCTTTACGTATAGGCATCATTCCTGCAGGTAGGCTCTGGAATCCTTTTACATGCAAACATTTTTTGGAATAAGAACTCTTTGATTTTTGATTGTTCTTTTATATGTTAGTGGAAGGGTTGAGTTTTGTCACAAAACAATCAGAAATCCTTTAAATCTTCACTTTTTAAGTAATATTTCTATGGTTAAAGCTGGGGAAATAAACAGGAAGACCCTGAGAACTTGTTTGACACTAACCGGTTATTTAAAATACCGTATTTTCACGACTATAAGGCGCACTTAAACGTCTTTTTTTTCCGGTGCGCCCTATGGTGCGGTGCGCCCTATGTGTGTTGTAACTGCGACTTTTGAGACCACCTCATTGAGGAGATGATGAAAGAGTGGCTGAATGTAAGGAGACCAGGTGTTTTTTTTCCACTCATCACCATCGCTGTTAATATGTAACTCCATGCGTGCCCATCTCACAGCTGATGTGAAAAACATGTGGAAACAAATTAACGCTGTGCTCGCTGTTCAACCGCTCGACATCGGTGTGAACCGGACCCAGCAGGTGCAGCAGAAGCAGCGAGTTTACATGCAAAGTCAATGGTTGACGCGCGTATAGGTGCAGCAAAAGGTCCCGCAGCGCGTTTTGAGCAGCAGGTGCAGCACGTCGGGAAGCGTTTAAGCATCTGACGCACCGCCAACGCGCTGCTGCTGCTCGAGATGGAAAAATTGAAGTTTTGCTGCTGGACGCGCCGCATCAACCAATCAGAGAAGCTGATCTGGGAGCTGACAGCGAGACAGACACAGCGCTCTGATGACATATGATATTAACGCAAATGAAAAAGGCTGGATGGATGAGGAGATGATGAAAGCGTGGCTGTGCCCATCTCACAGCCGATGTGAAAAAAAAGGTGAATCAAATGAACGCTGTGCTCGCCGTTATCCCGGGGGGTCTGACAAAGGAACTTCAACCGCTCGACATCGGTGTGAAGCGGCCGTTCAAAGTAAGGCTGCGAGCGGCGTGGGAGCGATGGATGACCGACGGAGACCACAGTTTCAGGATAAGTGGAAGGCAGCGCCGGGCAAGTTACGCAAGTTACTGATTTAGCGCAGCTGTTTAATTCAGAAACAGAGGATGATGACTTTGATGGGTTTGATTAATACTTTGTAATAAATACATGAATAAAGCACAAACATACTCAGTTTTGCTCCCGCTCTATTTTTCTACCTGAAAACTTAATTCAACAGCAGCCTCTGGGCGGGTCTCCTCCTCTTCACAGCGGTGGCTGGCAGGTGTTTTTTCATCGAAATAATCTAAATCTTGCAGCTATATTTGCTGTGATCAGTGGGAATAAAGTAGTTTTAATATGTTTTTAAGTGAGAAAGGCCACCTGAAAACTTAATAATTGCAGTCAGTTCATCCAGATTATCTATTTCTGTCAGAGGCGCTCAGACCCCCACATACCAGCGGTGCACCGACAGCAGAAATCCGTTCATCAGCAGCCTCTAGGCCGGGCAGCCTCCAGGTTCACCGCGGCTGCTGGCAGGTGTTTTTCATCTAAATAATTTAAACTGCAGGCACCAGGATACCGGCAATAAAAGCGAACATATTCCGTCGGCAGGTTTCAGGATTTTAAGTTAATTTAGGAGTGATCACAGCGCTGTGTCATCTGCGATGTGTCTGTCTCACGGCCAGCTGCCAGGTTTGATTAATAGTTTGTAATAAATACATGAATAAAGCACAGTCATACTCAGTTTTGCCCCCGCTGTATTTTTAAATACGCAGTAGAGGTATTTAAAGGTAGTAGAGGAGATGTACCTGTATATAAAAAACGCGCCCTATAGTCCGGTGCGCCTTATGTGTGTGTTAAATACAGAAATGGGACACATAACTGAGAGTGCGCCTTTTAGTACGGTGCGCCTTATGGTCGTGAAAATACGGTATATCCAATATGGCTACCATGCTTTCAAAACAACAAAAAAATGCATTTTTATGCATTTCTAATGGTTTGCTTAAATAAAATCTTACCCACAAGCAAACATTTCACCTCCATCTGTGAAAATGGATGTAAAATGTACCACTTGCCCTCAAAATTCTCCAGAACAAAGCAAGTTTGTCTAGGTTAATTTGACTGCGTCACATAACCACAACTGTGATGAAAATATGCATCATACTGCAGCATCAGATAGAGATCTGGTGACAGTGAAGACCATTGGAGTTTAGTGAACTAATCATCATGTGAAAGAAACTGGTTTGAGATGTTTAGAGCTTAGGGTCATGCTGTAATGCTCTGCTGGAATTACACTTTAAAGCAGGCATACCCAAAGTTGGGCCCTTTGAGGGCCGCTGTCCTACAGGTTTTAGAGGTTTCCCTACTTCAGCACAGCTCATTTTCATTGATAGCTGATTAAGAGGCTTTTGCTGAACTGCACCCATCAGAATGAGCTGTGCTGAAGGAAGCAAACCTCTAAAACCTGCAGGGCAGCGGCCCTCAAAGGGCTGATTATGGGCTGATAACTGGGTGAAGCTGGTCAACAATGGTAGTGCTTAAATGTTGCAATGTTAATAGAAAAGTAAAGTCCCGGAGGTTCTGAATTTAAATCCCACAGACTGGCACTTTGGGTCAAAGAGCAAGAACCTTAAACTCAGATGGCTCCCTTGGCGCCACACAGTGGTTGGATGGGTTAAACGCAGAATTGAATTTGTCCAATTTGAGATCAATAAAGTTCTTTATTCCCCAGCAGCCTGAGATGTTGATGCCAGGCAGGATAGATCCATGCCATCATGTTGCTTTCAGATTACAACCCAACCTTTAGATTGTCTCAGTTTAAAATGTGACTTTTTGGGTAAGGAAAAGAGTTTCTAATATTTTACTGTCCAGTTTTTGTGAGAGTTTTGAGATTCTGTAGGTTCCTCCATTTTGTCAAAAAAAATGAAATGGGCTCTTCTCCAAGGTCTTTTCACAAAGCTACCGCCTTAGGTTTACATTAAATTATACAACCACCTTACATATTTCCCCCGCAGCCGCTGCCTTTGTAAATCATGTTATCCTGACTGAAGTATTATAGCATGCCTTAAAGATACAACATTCCCTTACTCTCTAGGGAGAAATCGCTTCCTTTTTTGTCCTGTGCAGTCATGATATATCACTTAGCTGAATGCTTAAAGTCTAATCAGGGTCTTCAGGTGTTTTCCAAAAGTCACTAATAAAAGTGACGGTTAAGTCATTTGCATGGAAGAGATGCAAAAGTAGGAGATTGAAGTTTTCTACAGAAAGTGTAAATGATTTATCTACTTTTAATTGTTACACTTTCAGGACTTTATGCTCCCAGGGTGCTTAGTTATGTAAGATAATCTCCATGGCAACAGGCCAGGGTGCCTCTATGATCCCCAAAGAGGTCAATCACTCCTAAGTGGCATGATTGGGAACATGCTGCGTGACATTTTTAAAATCACTGTACATTTCAGCGGGATGGAAATAGGACGTGTGAAGACCAGCGTGAGGATATCCTGAGCTCAGCTTGATGTCGGTGGCCGCCTTGTTTTTAAAAAGGGGTGGTGAGACAGTTAATGATTCATCTGGATAAAGATGATTCTGTTTAGCTAGTTTGTTTTAAAAACACTGTTGAATCAATATGTCAGAGGTTTTATTTCTTTTTAGCTGATAAAAATCAAGCAGCTTGCTACAAAATGAAATGAAATCTGAATGTAATGGAGATAAACTGATTCTAATGAGCAGATTAAAAAAATATATCTGTTGTGCTATATTAATCATTAGAACTTCCTGTAATATTTCAGAAAATGCTCAAATTTTTTTACTGGAATGTCAAGTTGCGGTGAAAGATAAAAACAAAAAAAACAACAACAAAAAAATCAACAGCCAAACATTTCTTCAATCTTTTAAGCTCAGAGCATTGTTTTATATCAGTTAAGAAAATAAGAACAAATCTAGTTTTACACCAAAAGTTACGCTAAAAGGTAAATCCTTCCCTGAACTAAGCATTTTTTCCCCCCAGAAAAACATTTTCTTAATAATAAAAAAGAACACCTGTAATACTTCTAATATTTTTGGTCCCCAAAGTTAATAATTTTTTCCACTCTTAAGACACACAGAGCTTTTTTGTTTCTTTTGCTCATGCTATAGTTTGTTTTGTATTTGTTAATTTACAATCAACAGAGTTTTATAGCACCTTGTATTCAGACTGCAGGTTTGGTGACTCTAAAACTACAATGGAAATCAAATCTTTCGATTATGAGGCTGTTCTGGGGAAACACATCATTGCTTTTGTCTGAAGTTCTGGAAAATAACATTTAAAAGAAAGCACACAAAAAAATCATCTTCTAGTTTATTTGACTTAGATTTTCCAGAGCTATATCTATAGTTACGCCATCAGAAGCCCAGGCTGCTGAGAGACTTTATTTGCTCCTATCTGTTTGTTTTTTTTCTCATGCCACTGTCCATTACTGCATCACTGCAACTATTAATGCTGGTAACTTTATCTTCAGTCTTTCTGTTGAATCTGTTGAAAAACAGATTCTAGAATGAGAAAAATGTATAATATACATTTTTCTAACAAAATTAACACAAAGCATATTATGCTTTGTGTTAATTTTGTACTGAAGCTACAGCTACTCTCATAGTTTATTGCCTTTCTTACCCAGAAAAAGCACAGCTGGACTGGTGTTAGATTGTGTAGCTCTTCGAGAATAGCATTTGTTTTTTTATTTGTGCCTTGTTTTTTTATTTATCTTAAAAACACTGTGTCATTTCTTCTGGTTAGCGGGTTTTTCTTTTACAATTTTTAGAAAAATGTTGTGAAGAATCACTTGCTGCTTTCAAGTTGGTTTGAACTGTTTTTTTAATAGGTCCCATTTGATTCAAGATTCATTTTATTTAAAAAAAAGTAACAGTCATACAGTATGTGTCCTGAAACTGAAAATCTGAATAGTTGTCATGGTTGCGGGTTGTGGGGGCACAGCCCGCGGGAGGACAGGGGCATGTAAAGCCAAAACAGCTTGTTCAGAGGAAGACTTAAGGAGGAGA